CACCTGCAAGTGTGCTCATCAGATTTCCAAAGCTTAGGTATCTGGTCATAGGGACCTTTCTTTAGGTAGCCCAGATAGGTCACAACTGGAGCTTGGCAGTCTGTTTTTGGAGAAAGAGAAAACCAATAAGGATTACGACATACTCTTATAAATGCAGTAGAATTGGTTACTTTTTATGAGGTCTTCATCAAGCCACATTCTTTTTTTCTTTTTTAAGTTTAAACAACAGAAATTGATTTTCCACACTTCAGGAAGCTGAAAGCCTGAGATCAAGGTCCAACAAGATTGGTTTCTGATGAGGGTCTTCTTCTAGGCCTGCAGATCACCACCTTCTCACTGGGTCCTCACATGACACAGGGGTGGGGAGCAGGGAGCTCTCTTGTGTCTTTTCTTATAAAGGCACTAATCCCATCTTCAGGGCTACATTTCACGACCACATCTAACTCTAAGCACTTCTGCCAAATCTCCATATCCAAATATCATCACACCAGGGATTAGGGCTCCAAATACAAATTTGGGGAGATATAACATTTAGTACACAATGTTTACCAAACTGAGATTCTAGAAAGAAGTAAAATCAGAACCAAAACCAAGTAATGGCAAGCAGGGAAATGAAAGCAGAGGTAACTGGATAGGGAGGGGTATTTAAGGAGATAGGGAGGGATGGTGGGGCGTAGGGAGCTGGGGGGAGATATCACAGGGAGAGACGCCAGATGTAGGTGATCGGGAGGAAGGGAGCAAATCACACTGCCACGTGTGTACCTATGCAACAACCTTGCATGTTCTTCACATGTACCCCAAAACCTAAAATGTAATAAAATAAATAAATGGGGAAAAAAAAGAACACTTCTAAGAGGAGAACCAATGAATTAGGGCAGCTGGGTCTGTTAAGACCATTATCAGAGGAGAATAAAATATACTTCTGGGTCCTGAAAGGCCTTTATGCCTGTGCTCCAAGATCTCCTTCCATTCTAACTACTTGATTTGCAGGAGGTAAATTGCAGAACTGTTTCTATACCTTTTGCTGCATATTCTCAGTGCTTATTTATATTTTTAATGTGAATCTGCTATTGATCCCATATTGTTTCAGAAGCATCCTTATGTATTTTTGAAGCTGTCTCTGTTTAGTGTCCCTAATTAGCATTAAGCCTTTTGAGGGCTAGAGCTGTGCTTATTTTTTATGCACATATCTAAAGAACTGCATTAGCAACCTACTGCACCATGATATGTTGAGTTAGATTTTTTTCAACTATTTATGAAAATTCTTGCCTTCTCTCATATCCTTTCTCATAGAAGACCTCACATTTTTTCCCACTTCATCCTCAAAAAATTAATCTCTTTTCTTCTATACATTTTATTATAGTTTTCAACTATTTATCAAAATTTAGCTCTTCTCATATCTTTTCTCATAGAAGACCTCACATTTTTTCCCACTTCATCCTCTAAAATATAATCCTTCTTGTCTCCTATACATGTAATTGCAGTTTTTGACAGTTTCTTTGTAAAATTTATATATATATATATATATGTTTGTTTACACACACACACACACACACACACACACACACACACACTGTATTTAAAGTGTTTATAGCACTTAAGCTTTTTTTTCTTTTTCAACTTTTATTTTAGATTCAGGGGGTACGTGTACCTGGGTATATTGCACGATCAAGCCACATTCTGAAAGAAGTTTCTAATGCTTCCCTCTACCTGAAGAGATCATATTGTATCCTGCCCATTTAATAAGAATTTATTTAAAGAACTTAGCAGCCTACTGCACCAAGATAAAATAGGTTTAATTTTCTCAAATGCTTCAAAATAACTACCATTTTTAAGGAGAAAAAAATCAAAATGGCCACTTCTTGGCAGAGAGAATTAGCCTTACCTGCTGATTTTTGTCATCTTCATTTGCTTTTCTATTCAAAGAATGTTTATCAAATACCCAGCATTTGCCTGGCACTGAGCTGTGCACAGTTAACAAGACCCCTCAAGAGACTTCCAAAAGAATAGTTCAAAGTAGACCCTGTGAACACTAGACAGGAACATGCAAACTTTAAAACAAGTTGCCTTTAAATCCCCACCCCTCAGCACGTTGTCTGGGTCCTGCAGGTAGAGGCCCACTGAATGGCTAGAAAGTGAAAGTACAGGAAGAAATACTGCCTGTCACTGCATTGCAGAAGACTTACAGAAAACTTAATAGGATGACTGAATGAATTTTGTTCTGCACCTAGAAGATGATAAGGGAGAGAGCATTTGAATTGGGAGGAACAGTGAGGACAAGGACCTGATGTCCACACCTGAGAAAGATCCAGGTGTGTTTTGGGTTGGCGAGTGGACAGACCTGGTGAAGCGGGACACCTGACAGATGTGTTCACTAGAATAAGAAGAGTTGTTTCTCCTTGTTTTTTTCCACTTAAATTCACTTACGTGTTCTGATCAGGGAACTGAATCAATTTAAACCTTGTTTAGGAAGCTGAATTTGGAAGGAACACATAAGATGGTGTAATGATTTTTCAATATGTCAAAAAAATATTTAAAAATTTTTTGGAAGGAAGCTTCAAAAAGTGGAGTCTAATTTTCCTCCCTTGAACATGCCACCTAATTAAGTGACTCACTTCTAATAAATAAGATATGGCAGGAAAAATGACATGTGCCTTCTGAGGCTAGGCTGTCAAAACAGTGGCTTCTATCTGCTGTTTCTCTTGGACCTCTCACTTTGGTGAGAGCCAGGCCCTATATAGGATAGGCACTCAAGCTGTCCAGTAGACAGGCCTATGTAGGGAGTAAAATGAGACATCTCACCAACAACCAGCCACAACTGACCAGCTCATGTGAATGAGACACCTTGGAAGCACATCCTCTGGCCTGGTGAGCCTTCAGATGATTGCATCACTCAAGATATCATGACTCAACATTATGAGAGAGATCCTAAGCCAGAACTCCTTAGTTAATCAATCCCCAAATTTCCTAGACACAGAAATTGCAAGAATCATAAATTTTGGAATGATTTCTTACATAGTTTTCAATAACTAATGTAGATGGTAAGGTTAGCTAAAAAGTGGTTGTAAACCCAACATATGGACTTGAGTATGAGAATGGCAAGGAATAAATAAACATAAAATATTACATGGAGTAAGACTCAGTGGCTTATTGAACAAAGAAGTTGAGGGAAAAAAATAAACCCAGATGGCTCTAAGAAAGTATGAGAACAGAATAGTGGTGCCCATGATAGAAATATCAGTAAGCAGTGGGCAGGAAAAAATGGCTTTAGAAAAAATTATCTTTCAGTATTGTAATTGTAGAGAACTACACTATAAAATAAGCTATAGTGAGAATATCAGAATGCTGAAATTAGAAGATTGCTTAAAGATTGGCTAACTCCATTACCTGATTCTACAGAGAAAACCAAGGCAATCACATAGAAACCTGCATTTAGAAGGGGCCTGTGCTTGGTTTAATGCTCTGTTCTTGCTCTCTTGAAATTCTTAATAGTTTTTGAACAAGGGTCACTGTATTTTTATTCTTCACTGGACCCACAAATGAAGTAGCTAGTCTTGTGTACGCTCCAGCCTTTCCATGTTGATTCGAACTTACTTGATGAGTATGAGATTATCTGTTCCTCATATTAATAGAATCCTAAGGTTGGGGAGGGGGTGAGAGAGGAGACTGGTTTTGTTCTTACCACATTGCATTGCTTCTCACTACACTGAGTGTCTTCCAATTAGCAGCCATTTTCTAGGTGATGAAGTATCATGGTGGCAACTGGTCTGAGACCCAGATCTTCAAGTTGTTCATAAGTGACATACTGAATTCTCAAAGATGATTTCTGTTGCAAGGAAATGAAGGCTGTCCTATTGTGGAGATGCTGTCATGCTGGTGAACGTTGAATCTGCTAACAATAATATTACATAATATTATGTGGTATGTCCTAAAGGAACTCATGTCACACAAGTTTCCTGAGACTGATATAAACTTGGGCAAAATATTGAAGAGATGTCACATGCTTCTCCTTAGTGAGTTCTGGTTCATACAGCTAAGCTGCACATAGTTTTTCCAGAATTACTATCATTGAGAATAAAAGAACTATGTTTTTTTTTTTTGGCCAGGTGCAGTGGCTCATGCCTGTAATCCCAGCACTTTGGGAGGCCAAGGCAGGTGGATCGTCTAAGGTCAGGAGTTTGAGACCAGCCTGACCAATATGGTGAAACCCTATTTCTACTAAAAATACAAAAATTAGCTGAGCGTGGTGGTGGTACCTGTAGTCCCAGCTACCCAGGAGGCTGAGACAGGAGAATCACTTGAACCCAGGAGGTGGAGGGTCCAGTGGCCCAGATAGTGACATTGCACTCCAACCTGGGCAACAGAGTGAGACACTATCTTCCCCTCCAAAAAAAGAACTATCTTTTTATGCAAAAAAAAGTTTTTTGGCATATATTTATGCCAACAAAGATGGTTCTTTTATGGAGGCAAATATTATGAGAAGTAGAATATGGGTACTTAGTGTCCTCCAATGTTAATCTGGTGAGAATAATTCCACTGCATTGAAATGAATCTCTTAATTTCAGCATCTACCTACTTCACTCTTGTATCAATAGTCAATGCCCCTTAGGTTAGAGGTGTTTGAAGCTCTATAACTTTATAAAATATTTATGACCATATTTTATTTATAGAATAATGGGATTTAATTATCTAATACTTGTAGTTTCATTTGTTGAGGAGTAGAAAGAAAAGCAGGTACATCTGATGATGAAAACTAGTACCCAGAAACCACCTTTGTTTTAAGGGAAACCACAATGATTGTTTATCAACCCCAAAATTAAATATTCAGAAGCAAAAAATGGTGAATGAAAATGGGGCATGGCCGGGCATGGTGGCTCACACCTATAATCCCAGAACTTTGAGAGGCCAAGGTAGGAGGATTGCTTAAGCCCAGGAGTTCAAGACCAGCTGGAAAACATAGCAAAACTGCATCTCTACAAAAAAGTTTAAAAATTAGCCAGGCATAGTGGTGCACACCTGTAGTCTCAGTTACTTGGGAGACTGAGGCAGGAGAATTGCTGAAGCCCAGGAGATTGAGGCAGCAGTGAGCCATAATCAGGCCACTGTACTTCAAGCCAGGTGACAAAGCAAGACTCTGTCTCAAAAAATAAAAGAAAGAAAGAAAAGAAAATGGTGCACATGCACAGAGGTGTTTCTATGTTTGAGTAATTAGTTCTTACAATTAAGTAATTTAGGTGAGAGTAGGGGTTTTCTTTTGGCTACTTGGTATTGTGTGTTACTTCCTACTCTATTAGCAAAAAAAGAAATCCCACCTTGCTCTATTTTGCTCAAAAAGCATGCTCTATTACAGTTTCATAAGTGCTAGAGCAGGGCGTCCTAACCTTGGTCTGTGGTTAGAAGGAGTTGATAAAAATCCCCTGAAATTATATGCAAAATGTGGTGTGGTTGTGAGTGTGTGGACAAAAATACCAGAGTACTTCTCTGCTTGGAATGCTGGCCCCCTCCTCTCTGCTCCTCTCATTCCTACCTGGTTGGGAAGGCCAAACTCAAATTCCACCTCCTTCTAGAAGCTTACTCACAGCCACTGCTCTCCTCAAATCCTCCTTGTTCTTGGGAAGCTCTCCTACCTTTAGCCTCCTGGGGATTTCATCATCTACATCATTTGTCTGTCCTTTGGTACATTTTGGTCCATTTCCCTAGTATATTGGGAGGCTCTGGAGGGGAAGTGAAATTGGTATATCCTCTTTACACCATATAATACACTATATGAGATGCTGAGAAGACTTTAGTGAGTACTTAGTGAGGTTGTGGCTATTTAGAATGTCTCAGTCTTAGAGAATCTCCCTGGAAACACTCCAAGGGATCTGAAAAACACCCCCATATATCTCCACCATTCACCTTGCTCCCACCAGGCTGACCTCATTAGGTCCCACTTCATGTTCATTCATGTCTCATCGAATGTTTCACATTCATTAATCCCACTGACATTCATTTTGCATTGATCTCATCTGTGTTGACCAAGACTGTTTGGGATCTTAGTTTGGGGAACATAATAATGTGTGATAAAAATTTTCTGGAGTTTAAAATGGCACTTCTCTGATATCCTTGAATAGTAAGTAAATCTTCTGAATATGCTTTAATGTGCTCCAAATAAAGCAGGTATTCATTTTTAGAATATGTCACATTCTCCTTCAGTTAAATTATAATAAGAGTACTGGAGATTTATAATGTGAATTAGTAGGACTTGCGTTAGAAGTGTACAATCCACTTAGTGTATGTGTTTGTGAGTGTGTGCACACTTCATGCATGTATTTATCTATGTGTCAAATCTTGTTTCTTCACTTCTATTATAGAACCTGTCAGAATCTTCTTTGTATTAGAATTATTTACACACTTATTCATCCTCCTCCTTTAAATCAGAGATGTCCTAGGGTTGGAACCAGAGTTCCTTTTCTCGGATCTTTCCACTGAGTCTACAGCATGCTTGTTTTGCATTTGGAAGGGTCACAATCAATTTTAGCTTACTTTGAAAGGGGGTATTCATAATGTTATGAAATGTTAAGTGGGGGCCAGGCACAGTGGCTCACGTCTGTAATCCCAGCATTCTGAGGGGCCTAGGCCGACAGATCACCTGACATTGGGAGATTGAAACCAGCCTGACTAACATGGAGAATCTCCTTCTCTACAAAAAATTCAAAAAATTAGCCATCCATGGTGGTGCATGCCTGTAATCCCAGCTACTTGGGAGACTGAGGTAGGAGAATCTCTTGAACCTGGGAGGCAGAGGTTGTGATGAGCTGAGATTGTGTTATTAAGCTCCAGCCTGAGTAACAAGAGTGAAACTCTGTCTCAAAAAAAAATAAAAGAGAAATATTAAGGGAATACTCGTTTGAGCACTGCAAATTTTGTCAAGAAAGTAACATCAGACATATGCTTGCTTAAATTGCTCTCTCCAGATGGATAGTGTGTATCAGAGAGGTTCCTACCTATCAGCAGAAACAGCATTTCTTCCCACTTGGGAAATGGTCAGTCTTATCAGCAGGAAAAATTTTAAAATAGAAGCCTGGAAGCTCTTATGAGCTAAAGCTTGCTTTCCTTGATTAATGGCCAGGCAATTCTTCCCAAATGATTCCTTTTAAAAATGCATTTCTCAACTGTCATAGACAGACTCTTCTTCTAGGTTAAGGCCATGAACTGTGCTTTCTGATCCAGCTCTGCCCTTCAACCAGTTTCAGTAAATTTAGGTAGCATCTCCCCTGCCCTGGGCTAACTACAGCATTCTGCAGGTGCTTGCAACATCTGTGAATTAGTTAAAACACTGGGTAGGGTAGTTTCATTTTCTGAAAAGCACTTCAGAAACCAGTGTCCCAACAAAAAGAGCACCAGAGAGTATCTCTGAGAAGCATACACTTCTGATGGAAAGATCTTGAGGTGGGGTCTGAAGATCTTGAGGTGGGGTCTTCCCCACTCCCACCCCACAACGCTTGTTCTCTACATTATAGGAGGCCTAAATCAAAAGTCTAAATAAAATTCAGTTTGCTGGAACTTTTTAAAGAATCTGCTTTGCTCACGTGAAACTTCCCCACCCCAAAAAAAAAAAAAAAAAAACTGAACTTCTTTTAAATGTATATAATCACAAAAAACTTTTTATGTAAATGATCTCTCACAAATATAGTAGAGAGAAAGACTTGAAAATTGAATATATAGTACTGCCTCTTTTTTCTGATTTTCAGCAAATATTAATCTCAAAGTACTTTATAAAACACAGAGAACAGCCAGACACGGTAGCTCATGCCAGTAATCCCAGCACTTTGGGAGGCTGAGGCGGGCAGATCATAAGGTCAAGAGATCAGGACCATCCTGGCCAGCATGGTGAAACCCTGTCTCTTCCGAAAATACAAAAATTAGCTGGGTGTGGTGGTGCGCGCCTGTAGTCCCAGCTACTCGGGAGGCTGAGGCAGGAGAATCACCTGAATCTGGGAGGCAGAGGTTGCAGTGAGCCAAGATTGCACCACGGCACTCCAGCCTGGTGACAGAGTGAGACTCTGTCTCAAAAAAAAAAAAAAAAAAAAAAAAAAAAAAAAAAAAAAAAAGCATAAACAAAAACAAACAAATAAAACACAGAGAACAAAACTCCAGCCACTTTCAGACTAATGACAGTAGCCAATCACTGTGTTGACATAATTGCTATGTCATTTATAAGGTTAAAAGCATATTTTAAAAGGCCTTCATTTTTCTTTGAAAAAAAGAAAGTGTTTTTTAAAAAAATCTGCAAGATTTAAATATCCCCCACCTTAAACTCTGCCCTTCTGTTTCTACCTCTTTCCCCTTCCTGATCCATTCATGCGCAGTTTCACAGGATGTCTCCAGCAGTACTTAATTAGGTCAAGTCATCTCTGCTAGTTTCTAGACTCCAATACAAAAACTAAAATCTCTCAACATATGCATCCTTTCCTCCCAAAGACCTATGTGGGATATCCTATAATTTTGAAGCACTTGGCAAATTAGTGTCCATTTAGCATCCAGCTAAATTATATTTACCTCTAATTTACTGTAAAAATTGAGAAAATAACATATCTGATTAGAGCAGCTACTTAAAGGAATTAAGTTGTGAGTATCTCTTAATGTATACTTAGCTTGAAGGAAAACAAAGCTAGACAATCTAGATTCTCTTAGAAACTACCAGCAGGTAAAACTTTCTTTAGTTAATTATAATGTGTATCTTTATCTGGTAGTCTTTTCTGCCAGGAGATCTCACCACACTTTGCAACTATTTTTTCAGGCAGTCACTTTCTTCACTACTACCATCCAATGCCCTAGTTGTAAAGATCATTAATATACTAAATTTTTTTTTGAAAAGCATGGTAAATCTACAGAGAATTCTTGGTTCAGTTATAATCCTGTAAAAATGCCAACAAGTAGTTACTTGCGATAAAATTTGGGTTTACATTCCTTCCTCCAAACTGTAATATTTGGTTAAAAAAAAAATCAGAAAATCAGAAGTTTTTCCTTTAGCCTGGCCTCTGTTAGAGCAATGACACCTGGACTTTGGTCAGAATTGCACAGCTAGCTTACAAACATTCAGGTCCCAGGCCCTATTCTGTTCTGATTCTGTTGCTCCGAGGTGCAGCCCAAAAATATGCAAATATGCCAGACAGCAAGCCCCACTCGCACATTTTTCCAAAGGTGATTCAGACACAGGTAGGACCACTCTTTAAAGAAACACACTCTCAAACTTTAGAGAGCATCGGACTCTTAACAAGAAGGACATATAAAGACATGATTGCTGAACCCACCCTAGAATTTCTGATTTGATAGGTCAGGGGTAGGGCCTGAGAATTTGCATGCCTAACAAGTTCCCAGGTGACACTGATGCTATTGGCTCAGGGACCACACTTTGTGAATGATTGCTCTGGACTAAATTAACACATCTGCTCAATATAGCATAAACCAAGCAAGGTAGTGTATTGCCACAGCTCTCAAGATCCTGTAAAACCTGCTGCCCACTCACCTCTCCAGTGTTACTCCGTCACCTATTCTGCAGCACACAACACTCCAGCCAATCCAGCCTCCCCTCATTCCCTAAAGGTTCAGACATTTGTATGTGTATGGGCTAATACTTCTTCTTGGAACTGGATAATCACACGTGGCTTGTAAGGCCCAGAATGACCATTTCTGGCGAGCCTTCTCCTATCCCCCAAGCCAAAACCGTTACTGTCTCCTCAACATCCACAGCCCTCTGTGTGCAGAATGGGTTTTACTTAGTTCTGTATGTGTCTGTTTTCTCCACTTGATTTTTGTCTCCTCAAGGCTAGGTTTCAGATGATTATTTTCACTGACTCCTTGAAGAAAGTTTGCCAGCAGAATTAAAACTGAATTGACCCATATCATTTAACAGTATTTTCAATGTGTGGTCCACAGACCTCTGAGGGGAGGTGGTGGTGTCCCTGAGACCCTTTCAAGGCTGGGTCTGCAAGATCAAATGAATTTTTTTAATAGTAATAATTGTATTTGCTTTTTTCCACTGTGTTGACATTTGTTCTGATGTGCAAAAGCCATCCTGGGTGAGATTGCTGACATATTAGTATAAATCAAGGCAGGGCTCACACTGTGTCAAAAGTCATTGTATTCTATGCAGACACAGATTCACAGGTAAAAGCAGGGGGAGCAAATCAAGTTCATTTAAGAATGCCCTTAATGAAGCAATAAAATTTATCAATTTTATGAACTCTCAAACCTTGAGTACAA